ATTGGAAAAAAATACGGAAAAAACACTATCAAAAAGTACCGATTTGGTTATCGACAATGGAGGCAATGACTCATCCAAACAATTTGGACATTACCAAAATGATCAAATATAAAGATTTATTGGATCCACAAGGAAATTTGAAAACACGACAAGAGCTGCAAGAGCGGGGATTTAAAATAGATCAGTGGCTATATCTCCAAATTCATAGTAGATACAAACAGAATAGAAAAGAATTCGGAATTAACAATAAACTCCAGCAATTAGACAAAATTTTACTAGGATCAGACAAGAAAAATATAAGTAAATTTTACAATTATTTATTAGAAGTAGAATTAGAAGAAGAGACAGTTAAAGGGAATATGATAGCCTGGAGTAGGAACATAGGACGGAGTATCACACTAATAGAATGGGAAAAGATCTGGAGTAGAAACAATAAGATCACCAAATCGGCAGCATATAAAGAAAACGCTTATAAAATGTTTTACAGATGGCACCTTCCTCCCTCGAGATTAGCGAAGATGCACCCCAACACAAGCCCGAAATGTTGGAAATGTAAAAGAATAGATGGAACCTTCTTTCATATGTGGTGGTCTTGTAAAGAAACCCAAAAATACTGGCAGAGAATTAGAAAATGGCTAGAAGATATAACAAAAGAACAGATTGAGTATAAACCAGAGTCCTTCCTGTTAGGGATTTTCAATAAACAGCTACCTAAAAAAGTGAAGTACATAACAATACACATATTAACAGCGGCCAGACTAGCATTTGCTCAATGTTGGAAACTACCTCACATACCTACAGAACAGATGATCATCCAAAAAAATCTCAGATTGTGCAGAAATGGACAAACTAACTCTAGCCTTAAAAAATAAAGATTCTTCTATATATTTTAACTATTGGAATTGCTGGTATAAATGGTTAGATCAAAGATAGACTTTGTATTGTAAGGTAAAAAAGAATAGGACAAATCTATATGAGTGATATATAAACATATATATGGATGAGATGTGCGTTTATGGCATGTCAAGAAGAGAAAAGATCTTACAAACTGTCGAAAATGAGAATGTTTTTAAGTGTTTATTTTTCCTTTATTTTTCTCTTTTTCTCCTTTTTTCTTTTTCCTTTCTTTTTTCTTATCTCATTCTTCTATTCGTGTATATGTTGTTGATTTGTTTTTAATTGTAAAATCAATAAAAAAATTTTTTTTTTAAAAAAAGAGAATGAAATATTTTGGGGGATATTAAAAAAGGCAGGATAGAATATTTCCTCTAAAGGAGAAATGGGGAAAAAAATCTTAAGGGAGGCAGAAACCAGTCCCAGTCTCCCTGCTCCAAGCAGAAACTGAGAAGGCCAGCTTTTAAAAATACAGATTTGGTAATCTATTCAGAAAGACTGGGTCAGACTGAAACTTCAGATAAGCAATAAGCCAAAGATTGACAAGATATCTAGCATTTGCATGTCCCCTTTTGCCTATAGTGCCAGCCATGACCCCACATGACCCCAAAGAAATCAAAAAGGCATAAAAACCTACCCTGCTATCTACTCCATTTTGTCAGCTGTCCCAGAATTGCATGCTCTGTTGGTTCTGTTCACCAATAGAATCTTTCTTTCCAATCAGGCTCCATTTTATTCACAGCTTGGACCTGGACCTGGATATTTCTTCCAACACCATATTAAGGGAAGACTTTAATGACACACATTTTGAGCCCTCTAGTCTAGATCTTTTCATCAGGCAAGATGTTGTTAAAAATAAGTTTCCAACAGCTAACTTCATGCTATTATTTTAAGGGAGATTCCCCACTTTTCTTCATCCTGCAACCCTGAAACATCACACTACAAAACAAAGTTGTCTGCTGTATTCACATATTGTAGTAAACCATTATGTGGTTTGTCTGGGTTCAATTGAGCGTCTTGTATATGTCTATACTTTATTGATTTATTGACTAAACCAAAATTCACACTATCCAAATATATTCTATTCCAGCATCAACTTAAAAAGACAGCCTCCCCCTCCCCTTTGTAATTATCCTATCCTTATGAGTCCTCATTTTAATACTTCTCATTATATTCTCTGAAATACAATACTGGTACTTTAGAGTCTAGACCAGGCTTGTCCAACCTGCGGCCCACGGGCCGTATGCGGCCCAGGTTGCCTCGTAATGCGGCCCAACGCCCACCCCAACCTTCATGAAAGATCCAGCAAGGAGGAGGAGGAGAGGCAGGCGTGAGGCGGGGCGAGGCGAGCAACAGAAAAGGCGGGCAGCCGCAGCCCA